CATTGGGATTGAAAATATCGAATAGTATATTTTTTCTTAAATTTTATTTATTTATTTGTTTATATATGATATATTTTCAGTCACGCTAAGACAGATGACAGATGACCCTTCCATTTTTTTGGTAAATGAATTATGTTAAATAAATCTAAGCTTGCACGCAAAATCTTACTTGACTTTAATAACTTTAATATTTGTATATTATAAAATATGTTTTTAAATATCCTTTTATAATATTTTTTTCAATAAACGATATTTTCTTACATCATGTTGTGCAAAAGAAATCTTGCGAAAAGATTCTAATAAAACAGCTTCGTAAGCCATCTTATTTGAAAAGAATAGAATTTGTGTGTGTGTGTGTGTGTGTGTGTGTGTGTGTGTGTGCCCGCACGCGCACGCTTTATCGAGATGTGCCATAGGATTGAAAAGGGCAATGGGTTATCGCAAGCCATAAATTCGTTTTCAGATTTACAAGAAGGTTACAATGAAAGTCGTTGTAGATTAATGGCTCATACAAACACGGATTAGTGACATGTAGTACGAAAAATTTTCTGCTCAGTACGACTGCCTCATGGAAATTCTGGAAGACGTTCTATTCTATCTTATGCATGTCGAGTAACGGTGAGAGAAGAAGGCTAGAAAATCTAGTAGCTGTGTCGGATACTTTTATCGGACAGCGTTACTAATGGATTGGTATCATGTTTTGCCATTTGCTCATAAAGTGTTGGTATGTGGATGGATATTCACATACATATTATTTTTACGTCAAAGTAACTATGCGAGGATAAGATTTATGCCTTACCAGCGCCTAGAATATTTCGTATAAAAGAAGTGAACTGCGTTCTCGAAACTGCTTTTCTCCGTTTTAAAACTTAAAAAAAATAAAAAAATCTTTTTGTTTTTAACGTGTATTCAGTCTTTTAAGGTTCTCACGACAATGATATATTTGTCGTTTCAAATATATGTTAAACTTTGTATGAAATTTTCTAAAGAATTTTTTTCTATATATTTTCACATTAAACATACTAATTTCTTTTTAAATTTATTTTTCTTTCTATAAAGTATAAACAACTGGTTATATGAGATATTGCACGGCACGGGAATAGGTTAATAAATCACGGAATAAATTCTCCTTTGTCATCGTAATAGTTAACGGAAATCGTCAGTCGGGGCAGTGCAGAACATTGCTTGAAGGCAATAGACTCTTCGAAGCGCTTTTGTGCCGTCGCTTCGTTACTTCTTTAATTCTTTGAAAACTCTCCCTTCGTCTTGAAATTTATCTCATGCTCGAAAGTTGTTCGACGCGACGGCGTCGGAGTTTTGAACCACTATCCATCCGTAATCTAAATCTTTTTAATGCGTTTCATCGATCCGCCTGGTCCGAAGTGGTTCACAGAGCGAACTTCAATTCTTTTCGTCGTATCATTCGTCTCAATTAACTTCCTCCCGGGATCTAACGGCATTAATTGGTTTGAAATCGTCCGCCGTACTTCCGTAATTTTTCTATTCTCTCTCTCTCTCTCTCTCTCTCTCTCTCTCTCTCTCTCTCTCTCTTTCTCTCTCATTCTTCCTTTCAAAAATAAAATATTTTGATACGATATAACAAAAAATTTTACACATCGCCAGATGTAATTCAAACAGAATTAGCACAAAAATAAAACACACTCTAAATGGAAAAACAACTCTAAATGGAAAAAAGCGATATCGTATTTCACATCTTAGTTTTTGCTCCTAATAAATTCGTATAATTCATTCATATGCAAAGTACCTAATAAATGCTGAACTACTGGTATATCGTATATCATATCGCGTGAAAGTAACATGCGTCGTGAAGTTCAATTATAACTACGTCGACAATCTGATCGATCGATTGCAAGATTACACGCAACCGTTTTAATTTGTCGTCTTATCTGATTTTAGTATATTTTCAAATATGTCTTTTTATTTTTTCAAGATTATTTCTCAAATAATTTCTTAAAGGTACAAGCTATAATTATATATATATGCAATGTATTTGATATATTGATGTATTATATAATTGTATTTTTTGTGTATACTCGTGCAAAATATGTTTAAAAAATATATTATTTTTTTATTTATACGCACGTGCGCGCTCACACACACACACACACACACACACACACACATTCTGTTTTTTTCTTAACCCAATGTTTAAGCGAAGGATACGGCTTTACGGAAAAAAGGAAATGTCGGTTGCATTTCATTGGCTTCTAAGTAGAAAAGTCCATTAAAAGCATCCCCGATTTACGTCCATGACTTGCGTCGACGTTTACGTGGCGCAATGTCACTGTGAAAGGAACGACCGCATTCGTTCCATTACGAATATTTTTCATCATTTTGCAGAACTTTTCCAATGTAAACTTTGATTGATCTTTGACATTACTCGCCGACGCTAGTATAATTCGGATCGAGGAGCAAGACTAACTCACATATTCATGCTCGAAAAAAATTATATAAATTCTGTAAACACTGGTGATAAAACAAATAGAGAATCTTATGGATAAAAATGAAAGAGAAATAGATATATTTTCTTGTATATTCTTAGTTAATCAGTGCGATAACGAATTTGTGACGAAAATGTGTTATTCAGAATATAAATATAAAAATAACTATACTGATATTATTTACTTTTATCACATTTTTTTTCTAATAATTTTCATGATTAATGTATTTAAAATCAATATATTTAAGTGTGTAACACACTCTGGTTTTTAAACGGAAAATTTTTGTAACTGGCGACAATCGGTGTTTAAGATACGCAGACCAAAAAAATACGCAAACCAACAAGATTTCTTTCCGATGTAGATTTAATAGGAACAGGCAACAAAGTAATAAAGGTAATAGTAATTATTACAGAGTGATTACAGATCAGACTTCGACCAGCTCCTATTACGGATGTAGGCACACCTGGTACGTTATATCCATTCATCCCCCCCCCCCACACACACACACGTAATCATAAGAATAGTATGTACTATTTCATAACTCATTGAATGCAACATGATCTACTTCAGAGATCATACGCTCAAAGGAGTGCATCCGACTCCCTGTGAGAGAATGTGGAAAAGAACGGGGACGATGGATAGAAATACAACCTCGAGAAAAGAAAGAGATTTGAACAAGTTCATATTTGTTACATAACTGGCTTAATTTTCAGACTGTTTCGAGTCTTGACATACGATGTTCATTATCGATCAGTCCGAAAAATATCCTTTTTTTAATCATGTATGTTAATGCTTCGATACTTTTCGTTGTAGCAATATCGGTTAAAAGTTTGACGATAAGATTTGAATCGTTCTACAGATTGAGCTCTCTGCGGGATTATAATAATAACACATGGTATTAATTAAATTAATAATATTTTATGATTGATTCATGCAAGGTAATTATTGCTCAATTCTTCATATAATATTATATGTAGGTACATTAATCAAATTCATCAGCATTTATAATTCGATAATTCGAATATGTTCTCGTTTGCAATTAATAATATATAACAAATTAATAATTTGTTATATACAAAATTAATAATTTGTTAGAGGGAATGGAAAAAAGGATCACCTATATCTGTATCATGTAATTTCTCGTAATTTCTGATTCATGCTGACGCATGCGTTGCAAAGTTCAAATGTAAGGGCCAAAGCCCAAAGCACATAACATTGCTTGTGCGTACTTACGTCCACGACTACGACTGTCGTATATCGCTACGCAATGTTATGTGCTTTGGCTCTAAGGCTTTTGCTATGTAAGACATTCGTTGTTTAACGATCGTTTATCGTATAGCATCGTGACGATGTTGACGACGATTGTTAGCAAATAAATATCTATGTGCTTTATAGCCAGATTGTTAGACGATCGTCTTTGTTTAAGATTTAAGAAATACTTGTGGCGGGGGATTCTGTAACTCCTTAACGACAGTTTCGGTATCGATCGGACAGTTGCGCAGCTTTTTTATCATATATAATACCCGCGCAACGATACCGAAACTGTCGTTAAGGAGTTATAGAATTCCGTCTCTGTAACCGGAGTCGGTAACAGAGTCGGTAACGATCGCGTCCTCGCTCGTTGTCGTCAGAAATCTTCTTGCAACGCTCTCGAATTCCTGTGTCGCAATATTATGGCACCCGGGCATACCTGATGCTTAAATTTTATGAACCGTTTTCGCGCATCTATGTCTGCACTAAAATGAGCATTTGACATTGAGATATCTAACCATCATCACTCGCAACCGGCGAGAATAATCATCTGCGAAAGAAACTTTTATGGGTTTTATCTTACATTACATTGATTGTGATAAAAATTATTACGATACGATGATTAATTATGATCGCCACATAGATCATGATTTTATTGTTGGCATCTGATAAAATAAGAGATTTCTTCTTGACAGAGAATTGACATTGGCAAACAAATCGACGCTGATTGAACGCTAATTAAGTACGACGACTAATTGGATAAGTACGGTAAAACAAGGCTTGCCTTTTCTTCATTCTGTTCTGCTTTCGCGAAAATGCGTTATTATGAGTCCAAGCCGTATCCCCGTTGTTAATTCCTGCTTATAATTTATTGAGGAACTTTAAATAAACTCTAGCGCAAGTTGAAAAGCTTAGGACACACATTAGCCACAAGTAACGTAGATATATATAAGAGAAAAAGATAGACAGAGAGAGAGAGAGAGAGAGAAAGAAAGAGAGAGAGAGAGAGAAGGGGGGCGGAAAGAACGGAGAGAAAGATCTGTTCTACCATGAAACATTTCACAATATTAATGTTGAAGATATCCTCATTGATATAAAAGGTTGCAAATTATAGATATATTTATATTTAAAAAAAGGATATGATAGATAAATATATATAAGGATTAAATAAAACGAGGAAACGGCGAACAAATAAGGTAATGTCCGACTCAAAGAAAAAAGCGAGATGAGAAGAAATGCATGTTTTTGTGTCAGGAGAATAATGTTCTGTTCTTTCTTCTTTCACAGCCGACAGCAGTTTTCTACTAGCAAACGCCCAGATCGTCGACTTCCCAATCGTCTATTGCAACGAGAGCTTCGTCAAGATCTCTGGTTACAATCGTGCCGAGGTACGAGTACGTTATTTGATATACTGATATTCGATTTGTGCTTTTTCCAACCTTTTTATCCTTACTGATATCACTATGATAATAATACTTGCGTATAATTGTAGTTACGCAACCGACATACCCCGTGTTCCTTTTTTACTGGCAGTGCTGAAAATATATAGTTTGCGTCACGTAACTATAGATTTTCAGTACTGGCAGTGAATATAAGAACACGCCCATAATGCATGAAATGTACTTTACACATAAATTTACACATTATGTTAATGGTTAATTAATTAATTAATGAGTTAATTACATGTTATGCCAAGCGTCACAAATTTATTTAATTTATCAGATTTTCAATTAATTTATCAGATACACAAACACCCCAGTGGGCCGCCAATTATCTGAACATGGATTATTTGGACATTGATTTCCTGCGACAGCTTGAACATTTAAATAAGAATACCATATAATAATTTACACATTTCAATTATATTAAAAATACATTATTTTATTTATACCGGTTAATATTTGTTTTGATACCGCATATGCATTTTTTAAAAGCGGATAGGTGCGGATAATCAATAACAAGCGTATTACTGTTTCTCAGCTCGATTAATTTATTATATTCGAAAACGACTTGTTATTAACAATATTTTATATTAATTTCATTATATTTTCTCTCTTGAATTATAGAACCAATAGGAATTTATGTCGTTACACGTTTGTGTCGATCCCTCTAAATCTGTTTTCTTTCGTAAAAATCCAATAAATGTTTACAACGTTGTCATATATTCCGGAATATCCCTCGATATTCATTTGACTATACTATGAGCAATGGCTCGCTTATCCTTAGCCATCCTATACCTTCTAGGACGAAAGTGGTGCGAGTGACGAACGGATAATGGGATTTAGCGACTGGGGTTGATTCATCAGTATCGATTTATTATAGTCGTGCATGCAGGGATAAAAGATGGGAGGGTATGTGCGAGACAAGAAGTCGAGAGATGGTATCACATTGGCCAACCCCGATATCGAACTCTCTAGCTAAAGGCTAATCGCTAATTTAACTAATCATTCACAATCTACTCACTGAATTTGATAAGTTGTTGTTTATTTTAAGAAGTACTATCGAATATTTATTATTGCTGTTGCAGAGAATCTCAAAATCTACGCGAAACAAAACAATAATTGATAAACAGTTAAAATTGAATAAACTATGTAATAACTCTAATAATTGAATTATGTAATAATAGAGCTAGAATTGAACTATATAATAACAACAACTAGAATTGCGCTATAAACAGCGAGCGTACAATAGAGCGTCATTATTATTCATTCATCATATAATGTCCTAATTCTCTTTTACTTTTACTGATTATTCTCTTTATGTTCATCTACATTCGATTGCACATTATATTATACATATTTGCAGTTTTAAAGGATTTGCTTGAATATACTTATATTAATAATAACAAAGATCTAAGATGAAACGAATTTTTGATGGAAAACAGGTATAAATATAATGTCTGCAGAGGATAAATAAAAAATGCAAGAAATCTTGTTAAATAGAACTCGTAAACTAACGACAGGAGAAACACGTAAAAATAGTTTTTCACACTTACGTTGAACATCTTGAATTACTTGATTCGAATGTGACTCGGCTCTAGCGTCTCGACAAAAGTGACGACGTAGTAGTAGCCGCAGTAACCATCTCGTTTCTGTAAGATTCCCAGTGTTCCAATCCTATTGTTTGAGAAGATACATGGATTTGGGGTTTGCAAACTCCATTACTGGAAACCGGATTGGGGATGCTTTCGAAGGTTTTGCAGGATAAAGAACGAAAGTGATGATGACATAGATTGACGACGAAGAGTACATACCGCGCATTCTCGATCTTGTTCGTATTTTGCAACAAATGTACATCACATTGTTATTTTACATTAAAGACAAAAAAAGACAGACGTTTAAATGCAAAACTATTTATTTGGATGAACTATAGAGAACTAGACAATCATTAGGTCTTTTTGTACAGTGATTGTCGGTTCTTTTTAAGAAGTAATAATTCTACTTGGCCACTTAAATAAAAATCTGCTGCATTTGTGACCTTTCGCTTGTTAGCTGTCTCAATTCTGTTTACGTAGCCACGCAGTATTATTAAGGAAAATTACGTTTTTAATCCTATTATCTTCAGCAGCCTCAAAGACGTAATCGCGTTAATATATAATCATGCAGTCGTAAAATTCTTTTCTTCGTTTGAAAAATCGCTAAGTTTTCTTTAAAAATCATGCCTCTGTGTTCACATCAGTCAACAATATTACGTCCATACTTTTCTGCTTGTCCATTTTTTTAAGTATATATTTTTTTATTGTATGGAAAACGTGAAAAGTGCAGCTAACACAATAGACCTGTTGTTGTATACAGGAAATATGCGCTATTTCGTGCCGTTTTATTACACATCTGCATGCTACGAATGTTGAAGCGGTAGTTCCGAGCAAATATATTTCAATAGTATTTAAAATAATCTTTTCAATGTGTGTGTGTGTGTGTGTGTCAATTTATTGATAAAGTTGATGGCGCGCGAATAAATCGCAGAGATTTCTGATTTTTTTTTATTAAAAGTTTTTTCCTTTATATATTGTTATAAACTGATATTTTTTCTCTAAATGCCATTCTTTTCAAAAAATTGCGTGTCCAATTAAAAAATTGCGCCATACCGCGAATGACAGATTTGATCGGAATCGAACAGGAATTTCGTTCCTGTTGCGTTTGTGAACCGGGGAATTTAAAGGTCAACACTACGGGATTAATAAATCTGTTTCGAGGTTGAAAAACACGATATCACTAGTGCTCGATATCCTGCACGAATGGCACAAGCTGTTTCTCGCTTTCGTCGGCATTTGATAACATTTCGGGTCAACCTTTATCGACATTATCGATCCACGAGATCGCTATTTAAAGAAATGCTTTATTCACATTGGCTTCTGTTTACAGCGTTCAATGTGCAATCAAAAGTACTGCATTATACATTACATGACTTTTACACACAAATACACATGTTTGAATTTAGTGACATTATCGATTGAAAAAATAACTATACTTGGGAAAATAGTTTATCGACATTTTCAGTTTATAATCGTATATTTTTTATAAAGTTGACCAATTTTTTCAGCATTTTACATAAACTATCTTAAAGCGCGTTAATATTACGTGGCCAAGATCCGAACACACACACACACACACATATAAACACACACTATTTCTGTGTGTGGGAACGCTTATAAATTTTAGACTATTCAGACTACTGGATTATAATTTACGATATACTCTTTATTAATATGATCAAACAAGCGCGAAATCCTCATTTAAAGCCGATCGATTCTAATTATAAAGCTGATTGATTGGTTTTTTACCATCTGTAATCGTGTCGCGCATTTATCATCTGTCCATGTGTATGTTACAACTGCTTATCTATAGTAACAATGTGTGTTACTATATAAAATACATATTCAACGTTCTGTATATAGTGGAAAAATATAGCTATCGCAAATACTTATATTAATATATTCCTTTTGTGTTTCCAGGTTATGCAAAAGTCATGTCGTTGTGGATTCATGTACGGGGAGTTAACGGACAAGGAAACGATCGCCAGGATCGAGGAATGTCTCGAGGGTCAGATTCACGATCAATTCGAGATTCTGTTGTACAAGAAGACCAGTGAGTCCATTATCCTTACGAATTTCCGCATGCAAAAGCTTAAATGTGATGTTCGTGGCTTTTTACGAATGTCAATGGTTTTCGATGTAGCGTTCTCAGTGTTTAATATGCAGAAAAGAAGAACGATCGTAATAAACGTTCGGAGATACAAAATTTTACATCTTTTCGATCTAACATATACTTAAATCACTTGTTTATTTCGCGTTACCGCGTTACTTACGTAAGCCGATGAAATCGATGGACCTGCACGGTTTTAAATAAAAAAACGCAATCAGTGAATTTTTTCACCATTCTTATTACAACATAAGACGATTCAAGAACATTAAATTATTCGTTTCCGGTTTTTTATACTCGTGTGGTATTATTACAAGGGGATGCAAGTTTCGCGAAATTCACACGATGTAGCAAAATCTCATCGGTAGCGAGTACGTTTTTCTTCATGCATTTATCACGCAGGGTAATTGAATAGCTGTGCAAAAAGGTGGTTGGGAAGGAGGAGAAAAACTACCTGCGGAATCTTGGCCAGGGAGTTATTGCGCGAAATTTGCATACGCGTGTTTATCGGGCCGGCATCTAGTTTCCTATTGCGCCATCGTGCACTTTATGTATTGTGCACGGTGCGGAAACGTTAGAGGTATACCCGGCAATCAGCCGGATCTATGTATTTAATGGAAAACAAAACGTCGTCGCTTAGCGTAGAGTTTAGAGGAACCGACGTTTTACCACGGCCTAACAGCATTTGCATTGCGTTAATTGGAATATGTAACCGACGCGCGACGCGAAGCTAGAAACGCGCAATTTATGGCTTTTTCATATATGTATAGCGATATAAGCATGTGAAAAAATAGTTGCGTTACTTTCTGTTAAAATATAAGAAAATAAGAGTTTTAATTTTAAAAAATCGATTTAATAAGTATTCCATAAACATTTGGCACTTGTCTCATTGCATTGTCAAGCTAGTGAAAATGTTGTGTGTGCACTGTGCAGTATAGATGGGATATAATGTTTATCAAAAGTTAAATCATAAAATTTTAATTATATATATTTAACAATCATTAAGTGCAGTGAGAATATACCTATATTGTATAGGAAAATATTAGCACATTATGAAAGCATACGTATTACAGTTACAATGTTTGCAACAACAATTACTTACTAATAGCAAAACCGTCGATTCCCGTTTTGCGAAAACGCCTCGAGGCACGAGATGTATCAATGTGCATGCACAATATTCGATGGAATATCAAAACGTAACTATTTGCATACATCACCGATAAGTTTCGCGTTTCGCTGGTCGTTCTGCCATAGTGTCGCATCATCTCGCTCTAATATTCGCGTGTTATCTCGTTTTGAAGCTTTCGAAGAATATTTGATTAAAGGAAAACGCCCTCCCTTAATTCACGATGTATTAAGCATAATAACGAAAGATCGTTCTGTTTAAAGGTACCCCAAGAGGTATGTCTAACACAGATTCGCAAAAGCGTGCTCGCAAATGCCATCAGTAAGTCACCCACGAATCTAAAATCTATGCCAAGGACACCATATATACGACAGATATATTTATCTCATCGATAATAAGCTTGAATTAGCATTAAAATTTAAATTAATTAAATTTTTGATTCTAAATTTCTGATTCGGCTACTTTTTTGAAAGAACAAATTAAACCACTATGCACTATATTGAACTCTGTTCATTTGTATTAGCACCGATAAGAAAGATGACCTCTGAAATGAGCTGAAATGATAATAATTTGAAATTTAGAGTTATCGTTAGTATTTCACAACCGTTTTATTGTTAGGTTTTTATTTTCCAAAATTCTCTCTTTAGAATACTTACATTATGGAAAATAACCACATTCTCTTCGTAATCGGAGCTAAAACAGAAAGTTTATCGCCTCGCTGTAGTCGTTATAGTAACATTTGCCGATAGTTGTAAAAGTAGATCGCAAACATAATTTTAACCCCACTCATTTGGTGAGTCTAAGTACTTTTTTTGTCGGAAAACCACGGTCGACAGTCCTTATCGTCGGAAGGAACTCAGAGATAAATGCGATGACGCTCATTTTTTTCCGAGAAGAGAGAAGAGGAGAGTCATCTTGAAAATTATCAATTTGCAAGGATTAACCCATAGGGATAAGTGCTAAATATAATAAAAGACAAATTAATTATGCGCCATATAACGGAAAACGAAGATTCTTTTCTTGGACAAATTTTATATTTAGTCACATTTTATGTTCTCTTCTCAACACAAAATTATAACATACAATTATATAATATATTGTCAAAAAAATCTCGATTCCAATCAATTTGTCTGATTTCAATGATACTTCAAAATCGGTACTAAAAAAAATCGTATAGCACATAATATAAATTAATTTATTTCTTATCTATTTGAATTTTCATTATTATATCTATATATTAAAATTTTCAAATTTAAAGATAAAATTAGTGTATGTGTGTGATTTATTATCGTCATTTATTATTAACGTATTGTTGAACAACAAAATCTTATTCGTAACTCTTTTATAATTTTTTTCTAAATTAGGTATATGAATTTACAATAAATTCTACGATCGTACAAATTCAATTCAATTCAATTATCACACATATTATTCATTAATAAGACCGAAACATTTCGATCGATTGAACAAACCGGTTATTTCTCTTTCTCATCATTAGCAAATTTCATCTCATATGTCCATTCATATGTCCTGATATATATTCTATGATACTGTCATTTCGTATGCAATAATGCATAACACGCTCTGTAACAACGCATGTTGCTATATAATTACGCCATTTATATTCAAGCGTATGATTGGCATTCGTGTAAGGTTTAATATCGGAGTAATCAAGATAATTTTGATATTCTGCGATAAATGTATCATCTCAATATTTTTCAATTAATAACTCTTAACAGAATATTTTAAATAAAAAGTATCCTTTAATAAATTATTATTATTATTAAATATTATAATAATTGCTAGATTTATCGTTGAGAAGTATTTCAATGCTGAGTTTTCTCTGTCACAATTATCTCGATTAATTATGAAATCTTTTTTACTTCATTAGAACCGATTTGAAGCCGTAGTTATACTCTCACAGCGATGACTTACACTTTTTATTATTTCTCGGAAACATGGTCGTCGATATTTCCGTTGTCGATGTACGTTGTCGATGCTTCTCATATGTAGCTCGTATGCCGCCGTCGTATGTCGCTCGTCGACAGGCTTACAAGGTTGCTTAATTAAGCCAGTTGTTGGTAAATATCCACATAGATGGGTAGATGTAAAATATTATCGAACATTTATATATTATTCCCCCGAGCCTAAAATTTCATCTGTATGTTTGATATCCTGTATTTTTTTTATTAATCTGCGATATAAAAACAAAAAACGAAGTATAGAATGAGATATTTTCGAGACTGTGTAAGAATGTGTCTCATCAAAGAATGAGCTCATAAAGATATCCAAGAGAGAGATGCCAGATTAATTTTTCTATTCATTCGCATTTAGATTTTTTGATATCGAAAACATATTTTCATACGTAATGACATATTTTTATTAATGTACCTGACTTTATTACTTAACCCTTAACCCATATATTACTCTTTTCTTCTCATATACTTTAATTGAATCTTACTCATGACTTATTACTCATTATTTATTCGCATGCTCGCATGCTTCACGCTACTAAATATCATAAGCGAATCCCTAATTAGATTCCATTGGCCTGAACTCGCATACAGCTTCGATCCTGCATGTCGAATATGTGACATTGTGGACAAGTACGACTATTACAATAATTTAGTGCGCAGTACGACTTGTCACTTGGGTTGGCGAAACATCATCACGTTACAAGGATTAAGCGTCAACTTGGAAATTTATTAGATAGTACATTATGCCTAATTAATAAAGAAAGCAACGCAATAATGTATAGACAAATGTTTTAAACTTTTATAGTTTATTTGTATTATTTGAAAAAAAATTACATCGAAAAAAAGCTTTCGAGTTTTTTTTTTGGAATAAAGTATCTGATTTCGTTATTTCTTTATTTAAATAAAATATATAATTTTGATATTTCTCTTGTTATATTAATCGTGTATTGATTTTATGAAACAATAATATGATTAATGTTCATATTTTATTTTCTTCCTCTTTTGCACTTTTATTATTGTATATGATCACAGCATCTCATTGGAGTCTACCTTCTGACACACGTAGCGTAGATTCTTCTAGATTTCAACAGCTGAATTGACGACCAGCTAAATCGCTGATTCAATATAGTCTCTGTTAGATATATGAGAAATTCGTAATCTTCCTGCGACTAATAGTGCTTGAAAGAATACATAAGTAAAATATTAGATTATTCATTTTCTTCTTCATACTCTTCACGTTGGTGATGTCAGCATTATTCTTTCTTTACAATCTAGAGACACCGTTATGGCTGCTGTTGCAAATAGCGCCCATAAAAAACGAACGAGACCTCGTGGTCTTGTTCCTGCTGACATTTCGAGACATCACCGCCCTGAAGCAGCCTATCGAAACGGACGACAGCAAAGGCGGTCTCTCCAAGTTCGCCAAACTCGCCAGATCAGTTACCAGATCGAGATCGGTCCTAGTTTCTCAGTTCAGCTCTCATTTGCCGGCTTTGAAAGACACACCTGTACCGACTACCACCAAACAATCGCATCTGGGTCATGTAAGAGTCACCGTGATGCTTCATAATCCTATCAAAATTAAAAATCTTTATATATATATTTTTGTATCAATAATGTTTCTATTTACCTTTCAAACGTTTATCTTTAAAATATCTATCTCGATATCTCTTTTCTTACTATGGCTTTCTAAATAAATTCATGCAGAAATTATTGGATCATTTCAAAACAGTCAGTATAATGGATAATGGTAACATTGGTAAGTGTAGTAGTCAACTTATACAAAGTCCCATTTATAAATCGACGAAATAGAAATGTATTTTCAATACGCCGACTTCGTCAGAAAATGGAAAGCTGAGAACACATCTGCATGAATTTCTCTTCAAAATCAACCTAGAAAGCTTATTTACATCCGAAAGCTCTTTGGAGTGTGAAAAGCTAATGGAGCCAGACTTGGCGTAAGAAAGAGATATCAGATAGATGGATATATAAGAAATCGATATGTAAGCGGTGAAAATAGTTCCTTCTTTTTGATTATGATTTATGACGTATATATCTTTCAGTATAAAAACAAAATTTATGAAGAAATATAAAATCTAAATATTTAAGTCAACAAATTAAAAAAATATATGTATAAATCTTGACACGTATGTAAAGGAATCATTTTTACGACTTGATAATAATTAGTTATTATCCTCTTCGCACAAGAAAAAAATCGCTTCTTGTGACATATTTCGATATTACACGTTTTTCTTTCAGATGATATCCCTGAGCGGCGATGTTATGCCACAATACAGACAAGAAGCGCCAAAAACACCGCCACACATTCTATTACATTACTGTGCATTTAAGGCAATTTGGGACTGGATTATTTTGTGTTTGACTTTTTACACAGCCATAATGGTGCCGTATAACGTCGCGTTTAAGAATAAGACTAGCGAGGACGTCTCCCTATTAGTTGTAGACAGTATCGTCGACGTGATATTCTTCATCGATATTGTACTAAATTTTCACACAACGTTTGTTGGTGCTGGTGGAGAAGTGGTATCTGATCCGAAGGTAACTTTAGCTTTATCAAAATTGTTTTGCAAGCGCTTTAATTATCTATGAAACACGTTTATACTTGTATTTAAAATTGTCATCAATCACAAATATTATAAATAATTTGCAGCTTTATGAAATAATTTTCACATACAAATAGTTGATATTATATAATAGTAAGCATACTTATATTAATAATAAGTTGTCTTTTCATGACGTGACGCTTTGATATTTTCAGGTAATCAGAATGAACTATTTGAAATCTTGGTTCGTCATAGATCTACTAAGCTGCTTACCGTATGACGTATTTAACGCCTTTGACCACGATGAGGACGGGATAGGTAGCCTGTTTTCGGCTCTGAAGGTGGTACGGCTGCTGCGACTCGGTAGAGTCGTACGCAAGTTAGATCGTTATCTGGAGTACGGTGCCGCGATGCTCATTCTTCTACTCTGTTTCTACATGTTGGTTGCTCACTGGCTGGCCTGTATCTGGTACGTCTTATTAAGGTGATTTTACCCTGCGTACACACACGTATTCAAGGTAACACCTCTCCGACCGGGATGGATATGCCGCGTAACGCATTAACGCAATTATTACCGCATAACATTATATACACATACAGAGACGAGAATCACCATGATCTTCACTGTGCCACAGAATATGCTCTCATTTTTTGCAAATTATATATATCTGCCGTTTCATTATATTACCTTAAAAATTATAAACGTCGACTATATCGTATTTTATTTTACTACTAACCGTTGCTGTACTAATAAAAAAAAAAGAAATTCGATCGAATAAAACGTAAACGCGCCATATGCTGTTTATATTTTTATTTACTTTTTTTAAGTAAATTTAAATTTATTATGAGAAAAGGCGAATGCAGAAACGATACAAAGTATCGCAATAATATCCAGTATAAATGAATAAAATCCAAGTTAAAGTTAATCGAGAATTTTGGAAGCATTTAGTGTATGAAGCGTATGAACAAAAACCTAGCTTAAGTTCAACTTTGCGCGATCGTAAGAGAAATAGCATGGTGCCTCCAGCCTCGCATTCAAATGTAATCTCTCGATATCGTATCAATATCTTGTCCGATATAGTCTCGTAAGAAATCTCCTCGCGTTGAAGGTATTCGATAGGAAGGTCGGATGCGGACAATGGGGTGCAATACTCGTGGTTGTGGAAGTTGGCCAATGTTACCCAGTCACCGTATAGCTACTTGTGGACCAATGCCAGCACCGCACCCGAACTAGTAGCGGGTCCGTCACGACGCACGATGTATGTCACTGCTCTTTACTTTACAATGACTTGCATGACCTCCGTGGGCTTTGGGAATGTTGCAGCCGAATCCGACAACGAGAAAATTTTCACCATCTGTATGATGATCATCGCTGGTACGGACATCAATATTAATTCTAAATCTAATTAAATACCCGTAAATCGGCCAATATGTACAAAAAGGAAAAAAATACCTCGATCGTTCGCGTTTGATAAAACTAAACGAAAAATACTTGCGAATATTTTGCGTAAAATAAATAAATTTTTTTCTTTCTCTCTCTCTCTCTCTTTCTCTCCCTTCCTCAATCAGCCTTATTATACGCCACGATCTTCGGTCATGTCACTACAATCATCCAACAAATGACGTCCGCTACCGCCAAGTATCACGATATGTTGAACAACGTGAGAGAATTTATGAAGCTCCATGAAGTGCCGAAAGCTCTTAGCGAACGTGTCATGGATTATGTCGTTAGCACGTGGGCGATGACCAAGGGCTTAGATACAGATAAAGTTCTCAACTACTGCCCCAAAGACATGAAGGCCGACATTTGCGTGCATCTTAACCGGAAGGTCTTCAACGAACATCCAGCCTTTAGGTAAATTCTATGATACATCGAGGCTTTGTTAAACTACTTTTTTTAAACGATTTAATTTAAAAATTAAATATATTAAATTATAAGTATATTATATAATATATAATTAGACATATCATTTTAATTTGCTATGCGCGTTTACTATTTAGATTAGCGTCCGACGGGTGTCTGCGTGCTTTGGCGATGCACTTCACGATGTCGCACAGTGCACCCGGCGATCTACTGTATCACACAGGAGAATCCATCGATTCTCTGTGCTTTATCGTGACCGGCAGCCTTGAGGTCATACAGGACGACGAGGTGGTGGCGATACTGGGGAAAGGCGATGTTTTCGGCGACAGCTTTTGGACGAATCCGACAATCGGCCAGAGCGCAGCGAACGTTAGGGCGCTCACTTACTGCGATTTGCACACAATCAAGCGAGATCGGCTGTTGGAAGTGTTGGACTTTTATCAAGCCTTCGCAAATTCCTTCGCCAGGAACCTGATCCTAACTTACAACTTGAGTCATCGGGTGAGTCTCAAAATTTAATAAAAAAAAAAAAAAAAAAAAAAAAAATTGAATTTTTTTCGCAAACGTTATAAACATAAACGTATTGTAAATTGATGAAAAGGACGTGGTCAAGTCAAACGTGACAAAATATCGATTTTGATCGTTTATTGAACTTTTAATAGATCTTACACTAGCGCGATGGTTTCCCATGACTTTATAATTGGCAAACAATCAAAGTGTGTGTTTGCATGTTTCCTTTTATTCTTTACACGACGATTATACAGTCTTAGTTAACAAAAGCAATTTGTATGGCACACAGTTATTCGTTTATGAATAATCAACATACGCAGAGAACGGTAAATTAACAATTACAACGACTCGTCAGGCACTAGACAATAGGCATTCAGGCCACGCAACAATCGGCATTCTTTAATATCATAGCACTGAATTCATAGATACGTATACACACGACATAATAAAATTGCACAAGTATGATCGAATGATCGAAAAAACAATCGCGAATCGAAAGATATCAGGCCGTTATAAAACGGGACAAAAGTCCTAATAATATATACTTAGATAAATAATTACAAATAAATAATCCCACACGTCTGTAAAAAATGTATATGGAGGACATTCATACAAACAGACAAGCGGAATAATTTTTTTACTCAAACTTTCACAACAATTTTCGTAATGCAATTCGTTTCTGTTAATGCGTTTTAATTGTTTCTCGCGTCGCTATCACGTGAATTCGTTTCAACGTTAAAGATATGCACTCATGTAAAAGGGAGGACTCTTTCATATGGTAAACATTACTATATAATTATGAGTTTTTTAATAAGTTTCTCGTACCCGCATATATCCCATTACAATTATCAGAACCGATAACAATATTCATATAGATTTTATTCCGTGTAAAATCAATATTGATCAATCTTAAATATCTGCAAATATCTTTACAACTATTAGCATTCTCTCTCTCTCTCTGCTCTCGTAAAAATTCCTATATTTATCACAATTACTCTTGTTCCTCGCGAAGTCCTTCACTGTGTAACTTACGACCGGACAATTCTAGCATGACCTTCGACGTTGGGTCTTGATCCAATACAGACTTCATTTCGCGCACATCCTCTTCCGCGTCCGGCACTGGACCGACTCCCCACACTTCGCAATGTTTGATTTTGAAGTCTTCCTTACCGCTAAGCTGTACATAACTTTGAAAAGTCGTGCACGACAAGCTCGATTTGCCGGTGCCGTATTCGCAATCCAACCAGAGGCCGGGATAATTAAGTTGCCCCCCCATAAGCAGGCCGTTAGGCATCATTTGCTGATGGAGATTGAGATACTGATAGTGATTGTTGTAATTCGTCGATGAAAATGTCAATATTTCCGGCTCGAGCTTAAATAGGAATGACGTTTGATTCCCTATAAAGTTCGGTCCTAGCTTCCAACTGTCCGAGGCGAAACCGCCGAACACATGGTCGTCCATATCTTGAAGGATGATGATCGTAGCACCTTGCATCACGATCCTTCCTAACATGGTTGAAAACGATTCGCCGTGCACCTGACTCGAAAATAGAAATCGCCATTCGTCGCGTAACTCGTGTGGCAGACTCAAATTTAGGAACAGAACGTCTCCTAAGCCTAATATACTCGGAAAGTGCGGTATATTTTCCAAACCCTTGCACAATGGCAAAAGATTCAGATCGTTTATTCGCGCTCCCGTATTCTTATCGCTCCCCTTCTTTTGAGAGACTAGATAGAGGTACTGAAAAACGTGCGATTGAATATTCTTGAACGTGGCAGCTGTCACAAACCAACTTTCCACTTGATCGACAGTCAATACATCCCCATACTTTATCAGGTCCTCGCAGAGAGTGCGAGAACGCATCCCTATGCGCCTAGTGTTGACAGTGCAGCCGATGCTACTCCAAGTAAGATAATGCGTATTACCAGAGTTCTTTTGTAGTCGCAAGTAAGAATTAATCGTTGCTTGAATATACTGAAGGAACGAAACGGTGGGTATTTCGTATTTTTGCTCTTCCTCCGAGAAACCATCGAAGATCAAATTGGTGCGTTCCTCAGGATTACCGCGTACGGCAAAGACATAGAGCCGACCAAAGTTCTCCCCGTTGACGGCCGAGACCTTCTTTCCCGGATCGTGACAGAGAAATCGAACCACAAACTGCAATAATGCATCATCCAAATGTATTGACCAATGTTTGAATATGTCCTCACGTTTGATGGAACCTGAGCTGCGCGACATAGACTTAAAGAGGTTCTCCACTAGTGTCAATTCCTCCGTGGAAAGTATGTTCGCCGACGAAGCAGAACGGCTTGACCCATGACCCATCTGAAACAATTGCAGTATCAATTATTACAATTGTACTATCATTATCCCGCAGCCTGTTCATTTCGAAAGCAGTTTCTATTACTTTTAAAGGCACAACTGACACAACTGCTAACGTCATATTACATAGAAGAAAAGATAATAAAAGTCGCGTTATCTTCTTTCCCTCACATGTTTTTAGGATTTACACGGGACGTGCTATACATTTGACCATTATTGATATTAGAATCATAAAAAAGAATCATACAACCTTCATCACGTTACATTATCGATAAGATATCTAAATATACTTTACGACTACGAACCTTTCATACGGGCGAGCAGCCTTTCCCGACAGTCCATATACCTCTTCCACCCGGTCGTCTTGTGTATGTCGAGGACGCAAGGAAGACAGACCCTGCACCTTTTTCGGAGGCGCGGCAGGTGTCGGTGGCACGACGTTGCGTCACGCGTCACGCGTCACGTCACGTCACGTCACGTTACGTCGTCGCGCGGACGACGACCAACGCCGTGCGCGATCGACTCGGACCCGCAACCCGCAACCCGGACCGGACGCGCTCACCAAAAGATTTGAAGGTTATGTTCAACGCGCGAGCGAGCAGCTCGCTGCTACGAGTGTACGAGTGCGCACCTCTCTGCACCACTCTGCACCTCTCTAACTCTCGTCACTGTCGTGCTCTGCTCGTCTGCTCTCATCTCTCATCAGCCATCTATCGACTTCCGTCATTACGCCTGCGCCACCCCGCCACCATGGCACTAATCTCGCCGACCTCGCCGTCCGTCGCCGACGTCAGCCGACGTCGACGTCGTCGTCGCCGCGCGCCGCGCGCCGCGCGTATGCCGCATCTATGCATCATTCGTTAATCGTTTGCGCATTTTCCCCGTTCGTCGTTTACGAGGGATGAAACGCTAAGACTTGTCGGGATAGCCGTCTCTCGTTATATTTCAATAACGCGAAGGGGTTGTGAAGCAGTGGCCTGATAACGAATCACTTAGACTTAGGGTAAAAATTCGAGTGATCGATCCCGGTAACAGAGAGAGAGAGGGGGGGGGGGGGATTCTCTCTTTTTTTCCAGAGGAAGAAAAACCTCTGAATTTTTTAAATAAGCGCAAATAATGAGACAAAACTGCAATCGCATATAAATTCCCAGCAGACACAGTAATCACCGAGTGCGCAATTTGATAGCAAATTGCGCACTCGGTGATTAACTGTGTTTGCTGGGTTCAGATGCAATATAAAAACATTGGTAAAAAATATTAAAAATATTCCGAGTGCCCGTGACTCAAAGAGCGAGACTGCGAGACAGGAAAATCGGTCAAATCCAGCCGTCTGTTTATTATCGTCGGCCGGATTTATTGCGTCACTATACCTGTCCCACTGGCGCGCGGCGCGCGGCGCGCGCGTATACAATATTACAAATGTTATGCATTTTTTTAAATATTTTTCTCACGCGTATTCTTCGTTCTTGTCACGCGCAAACCATAACGAAAAACGGACGAAATTTTGAGGGATATATGGGAGAGAGATATTCGCGCCTCGTATAATGCGACGTAGGACGAGAGCTGCACAAAGGGCGAAGGGCGAAGGACGAAGGCAGAGTGAGACTGAGACTGAAACTGAAGGTAGAATAGACAGCAGATTATGAGAAAGGGAAGGGTGAGGAAGGACATGAAACACAGTCTCGTTCAAAGGGAATTGGCGCGTTACACGAGTCATGCAATTTTCAAACGAGAGATGAGATGAGATGATCCAGCCTATATGCACAGAGTGCATTCAAGATGACGCGCGTTCATAATATGTCAAAGCCGAAACGCAGCACCGGCTGTTTCTGTGCAATCTTCGCCCTGGCGCGAAAACGCTTGGCTGTTAAGTATCGTTTACATGTGAAGATTGCTTATTCTTTTGTTTTCCTATCACTGATTAAACGTGATGTATTACCAATATATGTAATAATAATACCAATATATAACAGCATTCAACAAATAGAAAGTTTATTATTATAGAACAAATTT